CCGCCATTATATGCAAATTTCGAACTTTCTTAAATTTTGGCCGTAAAATAAATCGTTGGAACTTTAAACTATTTTTCCATGAATAAGTTCACCCAAAGATATGTTTTGGCGAAATAAAAGAAAAATTGATTTTTCATGACTGTCTTCCGATTCTCAAGACTCTCAGAAAATCACTCTTAAATATTGGTTGGAACTATTGTACACTGGAGCATATTTTACAAGTAATTACCCACTAGATTTTTCACTATTCTAATGCCAAACACTCAGACTATCTTCTTCTTTTACAGATTCACAGCTCAATCATTCAAGTCATAGTTTTGTCCCACAAATTCCATGTATGTAATTCGAATAACTCTTTATTCTCTAAGTAAATAGCTCTTTATAACATTGTATAAGGTAACATATAGATGTGCTAACAAGCTTTTAGCCGGATGGGCGAGTAGACATCCTGTGAATGACCACTTATCAAGCTCCACCAACCAGAGGGCCACCATATTCATGTAGGAAAGAAAAGGAAACCCATGAATTGATTTTCTCAAGGTTATCATGATGGCTAGCAGTATTGTTTATGAGCACGTACGCATGATGGTGTTGGAATTGACAGCTGAGTCACACAAGCAGGCAACCATACTCCAGCTAAAAGGTCGACAGACACCTGCAACCTCAGTTTTATTGTGTCCCTATTTGATATTGGACACCCATGTTGTGGTCAACTGACACCTGTTAAAACAAGGTATTTGCTGACCAGTATCACGTGACCATATCACACACTCAAGTTTAGGGCTCATCGAGGTCACAGTTGTTTAAGTTGACGGCTGACCAACTGTTGGTTTTCAACTGAATCGTGGGTTCATGTCAAGTTAACATCAGGGCGGGTTGTTTGGAAGCCAATTAACATTAATCCTGGATTAAAAGTTAACTGAAGTGTAAATTTATCTTTTGCACAAATATTTTTCTAATCACTTCTTATACTTTGTGTATTTTGAGATTATTCAAACTCAAAACAGAAGGCCAAAGACTATAAACAGAAAATCTCACTGCAAAGTTACCAAATTCAAATCAAAATNATTTTTCTAATCACTTCTTATACTTTGTGTATTTTGAGATTATTCAAACTCAAAACAGAAGGCCAAAGACTATAAACAGAAAATCTCACTGCAAAGTTACCAAATTCAAATCAAAATTCCTACTTAACTTGGGTTAGCTTAATCAGACTTTAAACAACCCAGCCCAAAAGCTTAACTTTTAGCCTTCATTAAATCTATATATTAAACTTTTTTCTTTATAGATCACAATCATTCTAGACAACATGCCAGACGTTAGTACTTTTTAATTATTATGAAAAAATGTCCAGGGTTAACAGAAATTATAGTTCTCCTTGGTTGATGTACATTACATAACAGATAACTTTTAACATAGTTGAGCTTCCCATAGGCAACCACCCAAAATGTCAAGCCTAGGTAATTGCTTAAGATAGCTGACACCATATTAGGTGAAAATTATGCATTATTAGCATATGATAACTGCAGATTTACCCCATGTTTTAAATGTTTCATTCATGGACTTTTCCTAGATCACAGACGACCCTATAACATTAATTCATCTAATCATCAACACCAACACCTTAAGTACACTTACTTTCATAACGTTTAGCAAAAATGCTTATTACTGGCTTTTTATGTTAATTTTATGACTTTCAGCATAATAATTTTAACTACAGCTGTTACAAGGCCCCAAAATAACAAATGTATTTAAACCTGTTTTTTAGACCGCCTTCATGCTGCAAATGCTTTATCACAAGGTAAGTACAAGTGTCATTTCTTACTTCATTGGTATAACTACTAACATTTTGACCATTACTCTAAAAAATGAGTAACAACAAAATTTCAGTAAATTCAATATTTTGCATTAAGACCCTCAATACTTGCATAGTAAGTACAAAATAAATCTTAAAGCATTGATATATTGTTTGTTCTTTGCATATAAATAATGACAGGACTTATCTTTAAGGAAATCTCACCATGAACACCACCAATTACTGGACATACCAGTATATATGGCTGGATGATAATTTACTAAGTATAAGAGGGCAAATACACATGATGGATCCATGCCTACGGATCACAATTACACAGTTGACATGCCCCTACAGTTGATTAAAACACAATTTCAGACTTCTGGCAATTTTGAAGCAGTCAGAACAAAAACATATATAAATAAATTTGGTTGACTGAAAACTAAAAACGTTTTAATTTTTTAGATTCCACCATCAGATGCTCAAAGTCTTGCACAAGTAGCCAATAAGTGCAAAAAAGTAGGTACATCAGTCGTTACATAAAAACTATTTCCCATCTGTTTAGCTGATGCTAAAATGAAATATACATGTAGTTGACATTAAAATGTAAACATCCTAATACAACATTATAATTTAATTTAACTTACCAGACACAAAGGCAAACAAAAAATTAACAAGCAATCTACTCCGAGGACTCACAGGAACTCGATGATGAAGAAGAAATGGAGGATGAGTTTGAGACGGACAGCGAAGACGAGACTGATGGTTAAACAGATTGTTCAAGAATATTAAAACATTCTTGTTCTGTTCATACAGTGAGCATGGAAAGCAAATTTTGCTTTTCAAATTTTCATGATAGTAACTGAACTACAACTATAACAATTATTTTCAACCCCTAAATTGGAAACATCATTTAGATAGTGGTTAGCTAAACATTGCTTTAATTACAACAAATGAAACTAAGAGACTACACCCTTTTTGAGAGAAATTTTTACCATATCACAACTCCCTTCAAATCTCACTGATCCAAGAATTGCAATGTCTTAATTGCTTTCCAACTTAAGATTTACTTTAAGATATCAATGTCTTTCAAGGAAATAACTGTACATAGCAATTAAATTTGGAACCCAAGTACTAACAGTCCATAAAATCTCTTTAAAATTTACTCACTGCAGAGCCAATGTAAAAAGAAAATAGCACACACCTATGCAGCATTTTATCTATGTCTTTTCGGGGTTTTTTTCAGCTTCCAACAGTGATCATCACTGTGTTATTGCCAAATCAAGTTGTGTTAAGTAACTTAAAGATAATATGTACAGGTGTACATACAGTATAAAGTAAACCAAAACATATATATATATAGCAAGTTTTTGATACCACAAAACATGTTTTTGTTGAAATAAGTAAATAATCTATTCCCTGAGCACAATCGAAGATCACAATCAATTGGATGGATAAAGACTTCCCAACTTAAATTAAAATGTTGAGTTTTAAAAACATATCAAAAACGTAATGTGAATTTGATGTAGGCAATTTCTTTTTCAAGTTACATGTATGAACAAAATCTTAGATAATAAAGTAACACATATTCCTAATCCCTCCGCAATGATCTAAGTGCTTATGTCCAAAAATTGCTAAATAAACGAAATGTTATGTTTATTTTCTATGATAAGTATTACTTCCCTCTGTAATCATCAAGTGAGTCTCATTTCCTTTGTATTCACCACCAACATGGAATTTACGAACACAGCAATGCATGCAAGACACAGTCATAGGTAGCTTCATTTGATAAAGTCCACTGAAACCAACTCATGATTCGATGTCAACACTTCACAAAATTCTTTTGAATCTAAAAAAACCAAATCCATTTCAACAAACATTACATACATGTACTGTCATGTAATTAAGCAGAGCTATCGTCAATTGTATTCATCATCATCAGTCCTTGTCACGCCATCAGAAGCATAAATATTCATCATACTCTGTCATAATTAGCAAACATGTAAATGAAGTGGTCATCGAGTGCCAGGATATTCTGCAGTTACTCCAACATTATATTTCCTCTTAACATTAATCAGTCTTGTAGTGCTTACCTTCTTCAAAGAGGTCAACATTGTCAGCACTGTCCCTCATAATTCTTTGATTATCATTGCACTAGCATGAGTTGTAGGTGTGGAAAGAGGAAGTCAAAATTTATGGTAGCTTTGAATCAGCTCCTACGAATTTTTTTAAACGAAATGATATCAAAAGTTGAATCTTAGTATAAGCTCAATATAATTACAACTCTAGTAAATGAGATCCCCTAGTTCTATTGATACATCGGACGTTTGCATCGTCTTCACTAACTTCCAATGAACATGATCATGATCCTGCTGATAACGATAATATTTCATTCCTTAAAGTTACAGCAACTAAAATAAATGAAGTTTCGTTTTCCTCAGCAGAGCCGACTGTACTATATGATCAGTACATATCGTAACAAGATAAAAGCAAATTCTCGATAAACCTCTTTCTCAACTTCTTCTCATGCACAGCTTAGCTCGATGCACCTTAAATTGAAATAGGTCACACAGTCATATCAAAAGATGGCGAATAAAATCATTCGCCTTCAATCATTCATTCAATCATTTAAACTAACCTTTTCTACAAGTTTTTAACAACCAATGCCATTTTCTATTTTCCCTTTCACATCCCAAAATTAGCCAAACGTCCCACTATGTCGCTTCAACTTTAAGCCAGACGACGTCTTTGTGCGTAAATCATGTCACCTGACTTTACCAACTACCCAAAATGGAGAGTAGAAAGGGCGTAGAGTGTAATTGTCCGGGTGGCGGTAGTTCTAAAAAAGAATTGTTGACGTTTCGACAACCTGAGCGAAAATCATCTTCAGAGTCAAACATATAGTAGTGTCAGTCCTGACTCGTCCCCAATCGTCTTCATACAGGAGAGATACAGCGCGCGCTGCCGTGTGAAACTGAAACTGAAACTGAAAACTGAAACTGTGTGCTATATAAAGACGACTGAGGACGAGCCAGGTGTCAGTCGATGCATTCTCGTCCCCAGCGGCCGCGCTCAATTTGATCAACATCAAGAATTGCGATTCTTAATGTTGTGGTCCGTTGAACGTCAATTTAGTCATGATAGTATTGGCTAACACTCGTGTAAACTTTGTCATCCGTCTATTACTAGTCAAATTAAGTCAATCTGTTAGAAATCCGCTTGTCGGTTTCGTTTCCGTTCCAGACCAAAAACTGACAAACTTGACTAACAATAGACAGATCGAAACCGACCAATAACTGATGACAATCTTTCAGCTAAGCCAGCCTGACTAAACTGACCAATCACGTTCAACAGACCAGTTATAACAACATCGATTGACAAACACTGTTCACTTGACTCTGACTTCCGCTGAGGTTGTGGAAACGTCAGTCACCAACAACAATTCTTCTCAGAACTACCTCCATCCGGACGATTACACTATGCGAACTACTAATACTCCTGAGTTCAAACCATTTACTATTAAAAACTCCTGACTAAGCTCCTTTTCTACCCCTGGGCATTGGGTAAAAACCCATCTTAGTCAGTCCTAGTCGGTCTACATGCTGACATGAGAGAATCTGGACCTCAGTCGTAAAAACTAATTTACGTATGCCATTTTCCATTACGTGTCGCCGTCATCTTTGCGTTGATATCCGAACTCTCTCTTACAGCAGCCAAAAACACCAGCGCTGAATAGAATTTCAGAAAAAGAGGAGTAGTACCTCCAGACATATACCCAACTTTCAAAAATTCTTTCCTGGAAATTCTCGTTCCATTTATTTTTCATCCTGGAAATTTCAGTTAAATGATTTGCTTTTCGCAAATTTAACAATTTCGGATTTTCTGGCATCTTTTCTAGGAAATTTTCGTACCAATTGTCTCCATTTCGGAAATTTCGAGATTTTTAGTTAAATGGAAAACACCAAAAAATTGATAAAATTCTAACCATCTAGCAACTTTTCTCTCTATACAAATCTTGTTATTAAACAATAAAATCATCGTTAATTGTCTCAGTCAAATATCAGTAATCTTGGTCTCTTAGGTCTCGCCCTTCAACTTACTGGTGTCCATCCCAATGTTGTGAAGCAGTTATTAACATCCTCTCTCCTGAAAACATATCCACCTAAATTGTTACTCGTAGTGTGTGGTTGTTAAAGAAGCGTAGCTGTTAGTGTTATTATTGTTAGATGTTTTCAAATTGATCGGATAATCTAACTAGCGCGAATATCTCAGATATTACAGAGCCGTGTAGCGCTCTAATGTAGTATTCACATTGGTCCTCACTCCTACCATTTTCTCTGTTGGTAGTTGGCTGGGGCTTTTCAATTTAAATTTAAATTTAAATTTTTCAATGTTAAATATCGGGATAATGTTACATTATATATACCCTCAAAAATTAGTACCTGTTAATTTATTTTACCTTTTCACTACTCACGTAATGCTCATAGTAATTTGAAATCTTACACATAACCCGCAGATTTCTGGACAAAATTATGACTTCGAGGCCTTCAACTCCCATTATGCTACAGAGATTTGTTCATCTCTTATCTAAGAAAGCCACCACAACAAATAAACTCTCTCGTAACATTCTTTTAATAAAACAAACATATTGACAATAACCCAACCACAATATAATATTTGTATATCATTGCAACTTTATTATACATCGTTGACACAATTTATAATACTATCAGTTGTCAACTAACCTATAAACCGCAGGGCCTGCGAATTCTACTACTGCAAAACACCACAGTATAACTTCAACTTCATAACAATAATCGAACTTTTCTCATACTCAATATTAAAATTTAGCTAGCCAAAAAATTATTCGTAAATCTATTCTTCCGAAGATTGTAGCAACAACAAAACCATCAACGAAGGTGAACACAATGTACACGAAGACATCCCTTCAATGAAATCATCTCACCTTCTCTCAACGACTCGATAATTGTAAATGTTCGCTCGGCTTTCTGAGAAGTACTATCGTAACATTCAAAGAAAATATCGTTGATTCTTGACAATTTCTAAGACAGTTTCACCACACGTTCTTTTACTGAAGTAGAACAACTTGACAGATTCTCTCGAGTCCTGATACCCCTTAAGAAGTTTTTCGTAACTAGGATCATAGCGTATTATTCGCCGTTTAAAACTTTCGCTCACTTGCAAAGAGAAATTGAACCAATTATGTAACAACCTTTCAACCGCACCTTAGTATCCATGTACTACTTATTATCACAAGGCTAAATAATGACATAAATACTTTAACTTGACTTTTTCTCACCGACTATTCAGCTTTTTATAAACAATGCACAGATCGAAACAATTTATTTCATTTTCAGTTGTCAACTGACCTATAAAAAGTCAGCCTGCGGATCAATACTACTACTACATAAACGATATCATCCAAATGTACAATGTTCCCTTAAAAATCACAACGACTCAAAATAAATGTTCTTTATCACCATTGAACTTTTATCATACTCAACTATAAAATTTCGCTGTTCAAACAGTTGCTCGTAGATCTCTTCTTCCGAAGACTGAAGTGTGACATCAGGTGCTGTTTGATTCAACATTTCCTCAAGAACTGGGGTGAAGGCCTTGAGCCAAATAAGTTCATGGTCGCTGCCCCGTATTGCAATCCGAGCAGAAGCCTTCATACTGCAAGAAGACACCGGTTGGACTGTTTTACACTTATCGCATTTGATGAATCTCTCTGGCATCGACGTAGCATCGCTTAAGTGCTTTCCGCATTCACAACACGACAGCCATTTCTTTAACTGTTGTGCGAAACTTATCTTCTCAACCAAAATTCTTCCGACATCAAACAGACTATCGAACAATTGTTCGCTTATATGTGGGAACTTTTCTTCTGTTGGCATGATCCTAGTACTATGAGTTGTCGTAAGGTATCTCTGAAAATCGTAGAACTTTACAAGGACATTTTCAAAACTATAGCAGCTATCATTCCTGACTTCCTGGATGATGTCTCCCCACAGTGTCAGGCGTATAGTTCCACTATCGTCTCTTATGGCGCACCGGTCCAGCATAGTAACAACGGAGCCATTTTTCATAACGACCTCGCGAACACGATCTGCACGGAGACTCAAACATCCCTTCACTGAAATCATCTC